TGGGAGACAATGCGTGGTACTCGTGCTCTACGCCAATCGAGCATTGAGAATATAACCCGTAACCTGTTGTCTCCCATGGCTAGGTTTTACGGGAATGGGGCCATCGACCACTTCCTAACCTCCGGAGAGGATGGACTAGGATACTGCCAGGGCGCCCACACCTGACAGGAGAACGACTCGGGTCCTCAGCCAAAGCCTTCGATTAAATGAACACCCGAAAGGCAGCGGGTCTAGCACATGGTCAGTTAGCTGACTCATGCGGATTGTTGTCCTGGATCTTAGCAGGGAGAAGGGCGAAACCTAACTCCCACCCAGCGGTCGCCACGTGGAGGCGCCCAGGACATGAGACTATGGCGCAACAGTAGCAGCAGTGGGTAGACCATCTGTCAGGATCTAGCCACCACCAGCCTCAGCGCACCATAGGCTCTCCCGCCAACACAAATACATGCATGCCCATATACGAGCATACCGTTCGTCAGACATCCCTTATCTAGCTCGAATTTTGCCAGACCAAAACAAGGTTGTCTAAGCATTAACAAATCGGACTATGCTATGGTGATATTGTTTTCACTAAGTATTGATCCAATTTTTCGAATTGCATGTATATCATGTTGTGTTGCTGAAAGTGTGCGCGTCACGGCTGAATATCCACCCGTTCTGGGTGCATAAAACACTTCCTTGACTTGATGATTAGCACATTTGTTTGGGACACCTGTTGACGAAATCAATAGCCGAACTCAGTGGCGTTATTACTGTGATTTTTGTTGCCCATTTCTCATTTTGTTAGCCCTTTACGATCAAGATCCTATTTTTGATAGACGCTAAAATAAAATACAACATTATACTGTTTTCGTTATATGTACTAGTTATTTTACGACCAACAAATTGAGCGATATTACCGTACACCAGCTGATAGGTTTCTTGTCTCCAGCCAAAGTGTAGAAAGTGGAATGATGGTGAGTTTGAGAATGCACAGTAGAGGACGCCTTATGGTTAGGATCAGCTCACCCGGTTACGAAATGAACGAATATACGGAGAAATCACGAAAGTTTCTAGTATGTAACTAGAGTCTACTCACCGCCGCAGTAGAGAGAATCCTTCTTGCTTATGGGGACACCACCGTTACAACCGGTCTCTAGCTCAGCCCACATGCCGGTAAGAGGCTTTCGATTTCGGTCGGGAAGAATGGAGTAGAAGCACTGTGAACAGATTACACACAAGTAAATGACACTACTGGGTTTCACTTACCTGTAAAGGTAAGCCTATCTTGCTGACTATGTTTTCAACTTTTATCTGAAATGATGACACATCTTGATGACCTTTGGTGACACCTGACTGAGAGACGGTGAGAGGTGAGTGCAGAGGAATCATGTGCCTGGTTAGACATTATGACCAGCTTGTAGCTTTTGCAGTGATATTCTTCTAATTTTTTTCTCACTTGATCGTTGAGGAGTCTAAGTAGATTAAAAATGTCGAATTACTGATTAAACAGTACTTCCAGTCATTACAGTCTTTCGGAAATGTTCTACCCGATGCTGTGGTGATAATGGTCCCATCCATGTCAAGCGCAAGTATCTGTAAAGAAGATGCACTAAAAATACTGCTAAGCAGAACGCATACCTTTGAACTCGGGATACAATCCGGATGCGTGTAGATAAGCAATGAGGAAGAAATTCTCCAGCAATCAACCTCCGGTTTTGCTGTGGACGACGTAAGGGTTGTCTGAAGCCTGCGAGTAGACAGCCGACGGTAAGCAACTGGCATCAGTGTAAGACATGGATAAATCAGTGGGTGTCACAAGACAGACAACCAAACGAGAAGAACTCATGTGATAAATAGGGTAACAAGTGAAGATAGTTAATGGTGTAGCATTTACAAGTGGGTTGCGTACTTTACTTGCTTGTTTGAATGCACTATGGGCACAAGGCACCAACTTTTATGCCATTCAAAAGCGTAACATTATCGACTTGCTGGTGTGGGCTCACAGCCGCATAAAGACTGCTCAATTAGTTAGGGGTAGATCAATCCTAAAAAATCATTGGATAGCCAGCCACTCTTAAAGTTTCATGTAAGAACAATAGGCACTATGAAAGAACGTATTTTTTGTTCTATGAAATGCGTCGAGGAAATGAGTGCCGCATCCCTGACAAAATCACTTTGCATAAATGAGTAAGTGAATGATCTACCATAAGTTCAACAAAATGTTATCAATTACAAATAATGTTACCAAAACAACACAGTTCGATTCCAACAGACAGTCCAGAGTAGTGCAGGAAGGGTTGATGCCAAACAACGACAACCGGCGAACCTCAGCACTGTTTAATCGGTGCTCCCACTAGAGATGAGTGGTGCTTCTTAAGTACTGATGGCCGGCCCGTGGTCTAAAGGTAACGACCCTGTCTCGTAGTCTGGCAGCGCGGGTTCGAGCCTGCGTAGGGGCAGGGTGACCATTTAGCCCAGGTGCGACCGGTGGTGGTTGCGCGAGAGCGAAGCGTCGGTACTGCAAACCGGCGTACTGCTGATGCCTTTTATCTTAAGTACTGATGGTCAAAGATAACCAGTTTGTGAATGCAAACCGAAAATGGGTGTTGCCCGCCCGAAAACACCACTACTATGATGCGTTTCGATGTTACTACATCTCATCAGATAGTGTCAGCAGGCATCGAACCCGGGACCGTCAGGATGTTAGTTGTGATCGCTACCCCCAAGCCACCAGGTCACTACGAGCAGCGTTTGGCACAACGGTTTTATGAAGGAGGTTGTTGGTCATTTCGAAGTACACGTTGTGTGGAGGGATTGGGGCATGCGGTCTCAATGTTGACCGCGATTCCCATTGAAGTGAACCTTGGTCTTTCGATCACGATGCCCGTAGTTGATGCAGATAGAAACTGGGTGTTACCCGCCCGAAAACACTGCACTACTACGACGCGTTTCGATGTTAGTACATCTCATCAGATAGTTAGCAGGCATCGAACCCGGGATCATTGGGGTGTTAGTTGTGACCGTTGTGCCAAGCGTTGTCCACCTTGACCCGGTGACTTAGGGGTGGCGATCACAACTAACATTCCAATGGTCCCGGGCTCGATGCCTGCAAACTCTATTTGATGAGATGTAATAACATCGAAACGCGTCATAGTAGTGTAGTGTTTTCGGGCGGGCAACACCCAATTCCTACTTGCATTAGCTGTGATCCTCCTGATCAAAAGACCAAGGTTCACTTCAATGGGAATCGCGGTCAACATTGAGATTGCGTATCGCAATCCATCTACACAACGTACACTTCAAAACGACCCTCAACAAAGTAATCGTGCCCCATTATATACAATAACGTCAACCACACCACCCTGCACTCCTGATTGAATGTCTAGTCATCTTCATGGAGGAGAGACTTCGAGGCATGCTGGCGTTACCGAAATACGCAATAACCTCCTCAGAGACCTAATCCCTATAGTTAATACATTTACCTGGATGACTGGAACGATCGGTCAGTTTCAGCAGCTGTTATGAAGTAGTAAGAAGCCGGTGGCAAGTAGTTTAAAACATTCTTCGATGTATGAAACGACAGGCTTAGGAAAGCACCATAAAGTTCAAGTTCCAATAAGACTGAAGCGGCAGGAAAATCCGGTGTGTCCTTCACAGCTAGCACATTCGATGAAAAGTTGTCGCCAGCACCATTTTAATGAATCAGCTTTTATTTCAAGGAAATGCTTCAGCAAACAATTGGTTAGCACTTTGCTACGTGTTTCACTGTTTGTTTACGGGGGGTTCTCGTTAACAGCAAACTGATACTTACGTAACGGAAACGGAGTTACCACCGGGGGTCTTAGGTAACCGGTATAGGGCTATGGACTTATGACGCCGCGCGTTGTGCATCACCAACCTGTGCAGGCCAGCGGCACGGAAACTGTGTTAAGGACCTTGATGTTGATCCTGCATGCGTCACACAGATTGATGAAAAGCCGATCGGTATCTGTTAACATTAACAAATCGGCACATATACCGTGTTCTCTAATACGCAAACGTACGATGTTCCGACGACTCCATTTCGATGAAGATTCGCTAGTCACACTCAGTTAGACAGCCGCCGCACATCTGGAAGAGCCCTAGATAGGCGGTTCCTCCTCTCAAGACTGGTTGGCAACGCACATTCCACTTGTTCCCCTGTGGGACTAGAACCCATGATCGTGGAATGTTGAGGATTTTTCATCGGATTATGCTAGGTGCGTTCCAATTCAAATAGGAACGGAAAAAAAAGAATCAACAGTGATTCCATCTTGAATGCGTTAGTAATTCACCATAGAGTTCGGCGGTATGATTAGCCACTTATGGGACCCAAAGCAACAGCATAACAGTTTGTCTTTTAAAAAAGTGTGTGGAAGTAGTTTTTTCGAGAACTTTGTGCATCATAATTTGAAGTATGAGTTCTGTTGGAATCCGTCAGGTTTACTTTGTTCTTGCAGAATTAGACTTCATATGCAACATCGCATTAAACCCAGCCATGATATCCAAATGTTTAGATTGCGGTAAAGTAGTCACCTCCCGTTTAAGAACTGTGCAGTTCACGTTCGGCGATGAGTGTTTGCATATTGCTTGCTGCAACAGTACCCCAGAAATCTGAGTATCCAGCTTATCCAGTGGAAGCAATCTGTGAGAATGATGCTGCTTCTAAACTTCTATGGTGTCGAATTCATGAAGGGTGTACGTCTATCACGGCGGTGTCATTTATAGAGCCCGTATTGGGTCCAGAGCTTGCTTGCTGAACTAGATAAAGTAACATGATAGTCAGAGGTTGCTAATGGGCGATTCCAATGCTGCTGCTATTGATTGGGATATGCCCCACTGTAAGCTCTCTCTGGATTCATTTGATACTCTTTCCGTCGAAAGTGTTATCGCTTGTCATCTGCTTCAGCACGGCGCAGCGTCCGCTAAAATGCATTCAAGCCAGTTGCCACACATGTTGGATCCCGTACTCTCACTGGCACACCCAGATGTATCCTACTAAACTGTCCTCCAATCGATTGGCAAAAGTGTCGGTTGTGCAGTTTCGTTGGAGTGGACACGATGTCTCACCGGCGAACGGGCCCACACCGTCTGTTGTAGACAATGTGGATTGGAGCATTCTCCAGCGCCTGGACCTTAACGATGCCTGGAGCCCTTTGTACTCAAAATTTATGACACTCAGTAACCAGGTGGTCTCCATCTCTAAGATAAAAGGTTCTTCCAGGGAGGCTCCCTGAATCGATCAAGGGTTAGAGATTTTCATGAAAAAAAAACGCAGATTATACTGTGCAACAAAAAATATTTATTTCCTCTAACAGAAATGCCAGTGTCCCTACCTTATAAAATACACTCCACTGATCGCAGAAAAATATTTTGATATTACCTAGCACGTCAGGATACACTGTTATAAGCAAAAGATGATTTTCAGTAATGCCATAGCTACGTCGCACGAATTGTATGAAAAGATACTGAAGCACAACATATACAGAATGCATCTATGTGGCAAATACGTTTAAGACATCACTGCAACATTCGCCGCTAACTACTGGCTGCAATTTGGTACTGGGAACTGATGATATCGCAGAGATCGTCGCTTGTATGATACATCGCCCTCACGCTGCAAAACCCAGCAAAAGGCTCCCATCTTAGAAGGCGTGTATTTGCCACTGTAGCGCTGAAAGCTCTTGATAAAAGCGCGCAACAGGCCCATCTCTAACAGATCCCATGTTCTCAGGGAAAAAAGCAAGGTGATTATGCAAAAAGTGCGACTTGTGACATTCGAGCAGCAACAACCAGACAGTCCGCAATGAGCTTTTTGTGATGTCTTCGTATTTCTCTGCCTTTGTTCTGCCCAAAAATCCTGTACACACTGCTTTGAATGATCTCCACGCTTCTAACTCAAATGAAGTCAACTGGCATTCGAAAGCACTGTCTGCCATTATCCGGCGAATATCAGGCCTGATAAGTATCCCTTCTTTGAGCTTCGCATCACTGATTTTTGGAAACACTTGTTTCAGGTACTGAAACGCAAAACCATCTCGCTTGAGAGCTTTGACAAAAATTTTAGTCAAAACAAGCTTGATGTGCAGGGGTGGTAGATAGATATGATCAGGTGGTACAAGAGGTGTATAAAGTACAATAATTCTCTGCAGCTTACTCTGTCCCCTCTGGCATCTTTTCGGTCGTGTAGTGTTATTGAGTTGTTTTAGAGCAGTTTTACAGCAATCTTTTGTGAAGCCACCTTACATACTCATTAAGTGTCCAGTGGCTTTGAAGTTAGCACAGATGCTCCAATAGTACTTATCGTAGTTCAGTGCAGTGAGTGTCACTCGCATAGTACCGCAAGTCTCCTTCATAATGATGGCATGCAACAGACACAGTTGGGTACACATTTCCATTGTGAAGCAGTATGCCCTACAGACTACCCTTGAACGAGTCAATGAACAAACGTCATTCATCACTGATATACCTTACGCCAAGCTCCTTCATCAGTCTTTCCATGTCGGAAGAGTAACAAAAGATTTCTCTCATGTCATAGTAACCAGACATTTTAACACTTCGCTTTCTGTATACATCAACCTTAGTGTTTGCAGCAAGTAAGCGCCATTGCTGCAGTCGATATGCCATTAACTCGGGTTGGCTTTAGACAGGCCCAAGTCACGTACCAAGTCATTCAGATTTGAATGTTAAACAAGATGTGGGTTGACAACATCAGCTTCAAAGTTCGCA